GTTTTTTCTATGCGCGATGCGTAAAAACATTGCCTAATTTTTATACATTTTTTAAAATAATTAACAAATCCCTACTAATTAAAATCTATATGAAATCAAATTTATTTATTATAATAATCCAATATATAATGTCTACAAATATTATTATCATTAAAGAATATAAGAAAATATATGGTGCCTTTCAATATATATATATATATATATATATATATATATATATATATATATATATATATATATATATATATATGGTGGATGTATGTGCATGACAACAATAATGGAAAAGATAACGGAAGTTATAACGGTAGGAGTATTTTTGTCCAAAAAATTATATAGTACAATTCTAAAAGCACAATGTACAAAATGAATAGCATTAAAAACATGAACATAAATGAGGGATATAACTTTTATTGAGACTTATTATGTTTTTATTTAGATTAGATTAAATTAGATATGATTTATACAAAAGGAAATTCACTCAGCACTATAAAGAATATATATTCTTTTTTTTTTTTTTGAAAGGAAGAATATATATTCTATAATTATATGAAACTCAAAAACTCTATTCGATTGTATCATTCCTGCTCAAAATTGTATAATACGATATTTTATATTGTATTTTATGCATTAAATTTTTTTTCAAATCACTAAAAATTATTTTAATATGGTAATAATATAATACAATTAAAATTAAGATGTTAAACTAATAATTAGTTTACATATAAGGAAATATATCGAAATATACATATAAAATATAAATTAACACTTTTTTTAATATCATCTATCCGGTGTATTGTAGGAGTAAAATAAGGAGTAAAATATTAGTTAGGAGGTAAAATCAAGAAAATATAATAACATCTATCTGGCATGTGGCCCTGCCTACAAACCCATTGAATCATCGTGATTTACATCCTCTTACATGCTCTCTCGGGTCAGAGTGTGGGAGGTTCTTAGGGTTAGGGATTCAGCCTTTTAGGGTAAGAAAAGATAATAACATTATTTTATATAAAAAAAATTATATTAAATGTTTTTGACAAGTCATAATACGGAGTATTTCCCAAATAAATAAGAATCTTTGACCATAAAAGGCGAAATCTTTTGCCTCCATATCCCCTTATCCTGACTCAACAACATTTGTAAAGGTAGTCAATACAAGTAGCTCAATTAGTTCATGAGTGATAAATAATGAGCAAGGACACATGATCGAGCCTTGACAATCGCGTTATGAGAGTTATACCAAATGTGATAGATTTATTATGGACATAAGACACGGGTCCTCTTAACTAATGGGTAGCTGAGTCACTATAATTTATGTCTCTACTATTTTGTTGGGACAAAGTGTTGACCCTGGCCCCTAAGGGGGTGTTTAGTTTAAGTTATTTAAGTTATACAACATAACTAAGGAAATGTGACATTCCAAAACTTACATTCTTATGTTTGGTTTATGTTATCTTAGGAAATATAACATTCTCAAAGAATGAAACATACCATCCACATAGAATTTTGAAGGGAATGTGATTCCCTTACCTTTCTTAGATTATATAAGATTACTTTGGATATTTATAAATTTTGCCACTTTAATTCTAATTATTATATATATATATATATATTAGAGTTCCAGTGAGAACATATGCTTAGGTGCATTCGTCTAATATTTTTTTAATGGTCTAGATTAGATTAAGTGTGTGCGAACGTGCATTAAATGTGTGCAAACGCGATTTAGTGTGTTTGCACACATTTAATGCGCGTTCGCATACACTTAATCTAATCTAGACCATTAAAAAATATTAGATGGACACACATGATGTGTCCTCACGTTTTCACCTAAGCACATGTTCTCATATGATCCTAACTCTCTCTCTCTCTCTCTCTCTCTCTCTCTCTCTCTCTCTATATATATATATATATATATATATATATATATATATATATATATATATATATATATATATATATATATATATATATATATATATATATATATATATATATATCATAAAAATAATCATAAACCAAACAGGATTATATTACATACATCAATTTTAACCAAACACAGAAATCTAACATTCCCAGCAATATAATATTTCTCTAAGGTAATCTAACATTCTGTGAACCAAACGACTCCTTAAGAGCAAGAGAATATCGTCTTTTATTGACAAAACTAGCATTTTGTGCACACGATGCACGAGAATCTATGCCCAATATTAAAATATTGTTAAGTAACAAAATTTAAAAAAATTAGTTAAAATTATATTTCACAATTTCTTAAAGTGATGATACCTTTGAATTATCATATTTGAATAATATAGTGATCAAAACAATTTTTTTATATAATAATAATTTACACAATTTTTAGGGGTGGGCGTTTCGGATTTCGGTTCGGTTTTTTTCGGTTTCGGTTTTTCAGTTTTAAAAAAGTTAAACCATTCGGTTTAACATTAGGGTTCGGTGTCGATTTCGGTTCGGTTTGAAATGGTTCGATTTTCGTTCGGATTTAATTCGGTTTGGTGTTCGATTCAGTTTAAGATCCCCAAATTTCAACATTTCCTAATGCTTTGAACATACTACCAAACAATACATATTCACATAATCCAAATTCAAACTCTAAACATTATATAACAAAATAGCAATCCAAAGTTCGAACACAATACTAAGTACTAATTACCAAACATCAGTTAATGTTTTTGCACAACCGACTCTTCAGTTGGAATTTTTTTATTGATAAGATGAATAATCATCTATCGTTATAGTTGATATTAAAAGAACAAGTGTCAATTACTATATACTTAATTTTTGGACACAATCTGTCATTGTTAGTGCACTCGAAATATACTCCAGTACTAGAAAATAATTATAGTGCACTGGAAATCAAAATTAGAATGACTGTAAAGGACATTAAATTTATAGAAAAACATGAAACTATGAAAATACTGAATATTGTAAATATAACTCAAGTTAGATATAATTGTGAGGTAAAGAACAATTGCGACAAACAACAAAAGTGCAATGTAGAAAACAAGCTATAAAGAAATCAAATAAACAATTTACAGGGCATTTGGTTGGAGGGATTTTAAATTCCCTTCCCACTTAATTCCCACCTAATACCAAAGGCCATTAAATTTCATAGTTTGGTTGGAGGGAATTGCAATTCCATGAAATTGCAATTCCCCCATTTTCATGGAATTAAAATCCCATGTCCCACCCTGGGATTTTTAATTCCTGGGAAAAAAAGATAGTGATGAGTCAAAATTACCCCTTCATTTTTTAACCTAAAATTAATGTCTAACAACAATAATTGACATTTTTTACTTTATACTACTTATTCCCTTTCAATTCCCATGTATACCAAACATTGGAATTGAAATTCCCAGTAATTCTATTCCTGTCAACCAAACACTAGAATTTAAATTCTTACTTTATTCCCAGTAATTCAACTCCCATGGAATTATAATTCCTTTCCCACATAATTCCCCCCTCCAACCAAACGCCCTGTTAAGGTTCGGTACCAGTAAAAATGAGAACTGAACGACAGAGCAGACATCAAAGAACTTGGATTTACTTCTTTTTTATTATTATTATTATTATTATTATTATTATTATTATTATTATTATTATTATTATTATTATTATTATTTAGGGAAAATGGCGCTTTTTCCCCCTAAGTTATATACTTATAGCACTTTTCCCCCCTGAATTATTTAAGTGGCTCTTTTTCCCCCTGAAATGTTAAATGGACATATTTACCCTTAAAATAAATATTTAAAATAAATATTTCATTTATTTTTCTTCTCTAACAAATTATTACTATAATTTGGTTCAAACAAAAGAGATACTATAGCAACCAAACCAAAATATTCCAATTACAATTTAGAATCAAAACGCGATATTTAGAGTTTATTAAAATTGCGAACCGAAATGACCGGTTCATGTTCCGAACTGAAAAAATAAAATACATTTTTTGTTGAATTTAGACTATTTTAAAATAAAAAAATAAAATTTTAAAATAAAGACGGTTCAAAATCGCAAACCGGATCCGGAACCACCGGTTCACGGTTCAAGGTCCAGTTTTTTTAATTCATAAATTTAATAAATAGAAATCCAAATATTGGGTTTTAGATCTGAATCATAACCGAAAACTTTTAATTCGATTACTATAGTGTCCGGTTCAGTTCGAACCAAATTGTGGTCATCGCTACATATACACAATAATTTGTTGGAGAAGTAAAATAAATAAAATGTTTACTTTAAGGGTAGAAATGTCAATTTAATATATCAAGGGGAAAAACTACCACTTTTAAAATAATTGAGGGGGCTAATGTGCTTACATAAATAATTGAGTGGGGAAAAATGCTATAAGTATATAACTTAGGGGGAAAAAGTGTCATTTTCCCTTATTATTTATTAAAAAATTATATAGTATTCGGTTCGGTTTAGTTTTTGCCAAACCGTTCGGTTTCGGTTCAGTTGGTACTGAACCGTTCGAATTACAAGATCTCGAATCATTCGATTCTATTACTAGTTCGGTTCGATTTAGTTCGGTTCGGATCGATTTGGTTCGGTTCGACTCGGATAAATCGAAGCGAAGTGCCCACCCCTAAATATTACATATCAATATATCAATGTGGGTGTTAACTTAGTATTATGTATACACAAATAATATACATCCATACATACAATATTAATTAAGAGTAAGAGAATATCTCCTTTTATTGACAAAATTTGTAAATGTGATAAATTATAGTGACTTAGCGAGAATCTTGCTATAGATTCGATCCTTGATTCCTTTTATTCAATACCATTACGGACGACAGAGTGATTTCATGAAAAGCCAGGTTCTAAATTAAGGTTTAGCAAAATACGGAATCACCCCGCCGGCTACCCAAAGAACAACAGCCCAACCCAAGGGCACAAATGTCATTTAACTAAGTCGGCGTACCACACGAGACTAAACGCGTCAAAAAAACAAAAAGAAAAAAAAGGAAAAAAAAAAAGAAAGTTAAAAGATGAAACGAAGCGCAGCAAAAACCCTAAAACCTCTCTTCACCTTTTTGCTTACACACTCTCTTTCGCCACTGCTCCCGTAGTCCCGTGCCGGCTCTCCTTCGCTCTGGGCTTCTCCGACGAGGGGCCTCGTTAGCCCCTTGCTCTCCTCTGCTTTCGCTTCTATATTCATTCTTTTTTTACTTTTTTGTTTCCCTTCATGCATCTATGCATCTCGCTCTCTTTAGCGATCGGTTCTCTTCTCAAGAACCTGTGGCGATTTGATTGAGCTTCTTGCTTGTAAGTGTAATCCCGTCTCCTCCGTTTAATTTACTGTAATTTAAGTTCTGGGCTAATCGAGATTTGTAATTTATGATTTCAATTTGCACTCTTTTGCCTGTCTTGATTTTAGTTTATGTCCTGGGCTTTTCAATCCTTATGCCTATCGATTTTTCCGTTTCCGACTTAAATATTCGAAATTTTTGTTTTCTGAGATTTGGGTATTTGGTTTTCTTCTAAAATAATCGGTAATTTTGTATTTTATTGTTTCCAGAATTTGGAGACCGTTGTCTGAATTTTGCTTAGGGTTTTAATGTTTTTTTTTTTTGGAGTTAAGATTTTATTAAGTTTGTGGTATTGATTTCTTATGCATGCATATTGTGTTATATTGCCTTATGATGTCCTTAAATGGCAGGTTTATTGTGGCTAAGTACCAGTCTGGAAATTAAAGGGTATTTTTTAAGCTTTAATTCCCCAACAATGACGGTAACCGGGGCTGTAGTGAAGAGGTTAAAGATCAAAATCTCCAGTAAAGGAGTTCGAACTCATTATGAAAGAGATTCTCAGGAAAATGTACAGAGTCTACAGAATTCTGTGGATGCTGTCAAGAAGCCTGAGATGAATTTAAAGTTCAAACTTCCTGTACCGGCCAATTCGAATAAGCGTGGACCTCAAGGCACACTAGATGGTGAAAAAGGAAAGCGGCAAAAAATGGACCGGAGTATAAAGCAACAGTGTGGAACCATTCTCCAAGCGCTGATGACTCACGATAATGGGTGGCCATTCCTACATCCTGTAGATCCTGTATTTTTCAACATTCCTGACTATTTTGCGATTATCACTAAACCTATGGATCTGGGGACGGTCAAATCAAAGTTGGAAGGCAATATGTACTTTAGTGTTGAGGAATTTGCTGCAGATGTGCGCTTGACGTTTGCTAATAGCATGACATATAACCCTCCCACCAATCGATATCATACTATGGCAAAGGAATTAGATAGTCTTTTCAATAAACGATGGAAATTGATGGAGGCGAAGTGGAAAAGTAAGAGTGGAGGTGCTGAACAGGGTTGTCTGCCAAATCGAAGAGGAAAAGATTTTCAAGATATGAATAAATCTTGCTTAAATAAAGCACCATTGCATGTTAACCCGGTCACAAAGAGGTTGATGCGAATTGAGGACAAAGAGAAGCTAAAGAATGAGCTTCTTGAGCTATTAAGAGGAAAGGTGGTTGATAATATGCAGAGCACACTCCAAAAGTTTGGATTGGGAAAAGAAAAATTGAATGTTGAGATTCACACATTGGATGATGAAACTTTATTGGAGTTAAAGAGGGTATTGGTGGCAGCTTTGGATGCCGTGGCTGCAAAGGTAAACTTCGACCTACCGGTTGTTCCAACTTCCTTGTACCAACCCAATTAGCCTTTTCAAAATTTTCATCTTTTGATATCTTTTTCTGTCCATCATATCATTCCATTTCACTTTTATGCTCAAAATATTTGAGCTGAAATTTTTGGTTTCACAATATTTTTCATTAATGTTCTGTTGCAGGCAGAATCTGCAGAAGGGATGCATGTTTTTTCTGCGAAATCTAACCACAAAGGTATGATGCTATTGAGTTTTTGTTTTGTACTCCAACACGCAACTCCATTACTTGGACATTGGTAACTGGAATTCTATTGGCTCTGCAAATACCAAACCTCCAGTTAGCTTGGTTGATTCCCAGTATGCCTCTAGCGGTAACAGTCAGCGTAGATGCTACAAACAAAGTGTCTGTTCTGCAGCATCTTCTAGAGGTATGGTTGCTTTTCTTTCTTTGCTTCATCTGTCTATGTTCAGATTTTTCTCCCCATTTTGGCTCATATACCCTTTGTTGTTCTAGATCTATCATCCAAAAGAGTATCGGAAGAAGTACAGTGCACTTCCTTGAAGTTGGTTAGTATAATAGTATGTGCCTTCTTAATTATTTATTGAATTTGCATTTTTTCAAGTTATGATTGTCAGATTTTTACCTACTTTTAGGATGGGGAAATGAAGTCTTCATCAACAGGGAGCCAATTAATTTTCGATGCTAATGGTGAGCACACCTCATTGACAGAAATTTTTTATATGCCCTGATATATTTCAGATGATGTGAATATTAACATAGAATCTCTATCAATAAAGGGGCTGGTTCGCAAAAGGAAAAAGAAAGTCCTAGCTCTGATCATTCATCATGTGCCACAACTACCACCACTGGTGAAGGTTGGTTTATTATTATTATTATTTTTTTCTTTCAAAGACATGAAGAACCTGCTTCATTCTATGGAATTTTTTGTTAACGGTGATGATAACTCTTGGTAAATAGGTTGCACTTCACTTGCTGATGTTCAGCTTTCCCCAACTAAGGCTCGACGTGCTGCCATGCTGATGAGCCGTTTTGCAGAGACTATTTTCAAAGCAAAACATCAAGTGCTTGAGCCACAAGTAGGGCTGTTGTTTTATCTCTGTACATGTGCATTGTTTATATATTCTTTTTAATTTTTTTTGGGGGGTAGGAAGGATAATCCATAATGTTTTTTGTTTGTGTTGCTCAGGGTGATACAGCTAACTCACTGAAGCTGCAGCAAGAGAGAGAGAGACTGCTAAAGCAGCAGCTTGCAGGTAAAACATATGTGTGTGTACAAGGTTTTCATACTTGGCCATCAACTACTATCTTGTGGAGAGACAATGTTTACATGAAAGTTGTGGTTTGAATTCACATTAAATATGTTCTGAAGGTCATACTAAGTTTAAACTTTGGCATAAGTGTCATTCCGCACCATGATCTTTAATAAGTGATATTTAGAGCCATAAACCATAAATTTATTTTCGTCTTAGAACTTTTTACAGGTTTCCTACAGGTTACCGGTAATAATATTGTTGACTTGGAATTTTTTATTAGTTTTTTTTTTGGTATTTTTCTTCTTTTGCCTTCGTATTATTATTTTTTTTTTCGTATTTTTCTTTTTTTTTTTCCTTAACGTATAGGCCTGCGTTTTTCGCTTCTCGTTTCTCCAATCAGGCCTGCTCTGCGGAGTTTTTTATACAAATTGTTTCTATTATATGAGTAATTGAATGCTTTCTGCATTTTTTGTTTGTGTTTCTAAGATACAAAAAAATACTATATTTGGTGCATCGGTGTGGGAGATACTACAGCTACATTACTGTGTTGTTTCCTTTGGGTCTCATCTCGAGTGAAATTGTGTTTTCCAGAGAAAGCTAGGATTGAAGAACAAATTAGAGTTGCTGAAGAAGCTTCACGCATGAGGGCAGAAGCTGAATTGAAAATCCAAAGGGAGAGAGAAAGGGAAGCTGCCAGAATTGCATTGGAGAAGGTATCTACTAATCAATTCTACATGGTCTCGTTATATATGAGTCTCATTATACGATGCCAAAAGAGATGGAAATGCATGGACAAGTAAAAAATATGTCTAAATCGTGCTCCAGAATTCTAAATTTTCCTCAACTCCTTTGAACAGATGGAAAAAACTGTTGAATTCGACGATATTAAGAAGATAATGAGAGAGCTGGAGAGGCTGTGTGGATGTCCATACCCTGATGACCCACTTGGCAGTGGATATGGGGTCAATTTTTCTTTATCAAGAAAGCCGCTAGAAAGGCTTGGTTTGTACATAAAGGACGACCTTCTTGAAGAAGATGATGATGAAGCAGTTTTGAATGGAGACGGCGAAGATGGGGAGATCCTATAAGAGGATTACAGTCATGTCTTGTTTTGTTCTCTCCTCTTAACCTCTCTGCTGGTTTGCAACTCTGATATTGAGACTTGAGATGTGAAAAGAATATGTAAATGGGGTTGTATAGTTATTTGGGGAAAGTGGGATATATATAATATTTTTGTGGGAATTCCAACTCTGAAATTGCTACTCAAAAGTGTATTCCTGCTTTTCTAAAAATGCTGGCTGGGATGGATGGATTGAAATGACACTTAGGAGTTGAAAGATAGATAGTATAAGGAATGGAATGAGTTTTAGGAGTAGAAAATTTTTTGTAAATTGCATTTTGTAAAAATATAAATGACAGATGTCTATTGTCCAACATAGACCCATCTTTTTATTAAACATGACATCCATAAATCAGATCATACATCTAATAAGATCATGGCATCTTCAACTTGTATTCATGTGAACTGTGAATAATCTCCCTATCCTCATGTCTTCCCTTCTCGGTAATAATTCCATTCTTCTCCATAGGTTTTATAGCATATGCGGAGGAGATAAAAATAGAAGAGAGTGTCAAAGATCTTTGCAGGATGTGTTTGGTTTTTGTAGGAATAGTGGGCTCCACTAAAGAAACATAGAAGTTCCCCGGTGTGGATGAGAAGTACCAGAAGCGCCCAACTGCGGATGTGCTTGGTTTTTATAGGAATAGTGGGCCCCACTAAAGAGACAGGAATAGTGGGCCCCACTAAAGAGACATAGAAGCTCCCCGGTGCGGATGAGACAAACCAGAAGCACCCAGCCGAGGATGTGCTTGGTTTTTGTAGGAATATTGGGCCCCACTAAAGAAACATAGAAGCTCCCTGGTGCAGATGAGACACACCAGAAGCGCCCAACCGAGGATGTGCTTGGTTTTTGTAGGAATAGTGGGCCCCACTAAAGAAACATAGAAGCTCCCCGGTGCGGATGAGACACACCAGAAGCGCCCAGCCGAGCGTGTGCATTCCACGCGCCCGGGTGCGTTATTTTTTTAAATTTTTTTAAAAATATCTTCTTTCCCTTCCCTCTCCTAGTCATCTTTGTAAAAATTCATCAAAAGCTATGCCTAATGAGGACGCTCTTAGAATTATTATCTTCAATTTCGTAGAATATCAATGACAAATGTCTGGTGTAAACGTAAATCAACTTGATATTCAGAGAAAGTATATGAATAGATACTACAATGTAATAGAGTTAGTAGCATTCAAAAAAAAAAAATCTACAAACAAACATGTTAAAGTCACAGATCGAATGCTAAGATTACATTACGTGCATGTTTGTATTTGTATATTATTGCATTTGGGGGGTGTGGAAATATATATCTTCTATTTAGTCCCAGCAAGAATGGATCATATGAATTATTCGCATAGAAATTACAGTTGATTGAGCAAAAAGAGGCTCTTTAATTTAATTTATTCCAGCGAATTGAAATGAGAAACGTTAAGTTTTCATGTAGCACTGGTGTGGAGTGCAACCAAGGAAGCATAAACTCCATCCTTGATGTTCAAAAGCTCCTCATGTTTCCCCTTCTCCGCAATCATTCCATTCTTCACCACCGCGATCAAGTCCGCCCCTTTAATCGTCGATAACCGGTGAGCCACTACGACAGTCGTCCGGTTCACCATCACCCGGTCCAACGCTTCCTGCACTATGTGCTCTGACTGCGTGTCCAACGCGCTTGTAGCCTCGTCTAGTAGAAGAATTCTCGGGTCTTTAAGTATCGCTCTCGCGATGGCTATTCGCTGCTTCTGCCCGCCCGAGAGTTGTGTCCCTCTCTCCCCCACTGAAGTATTGTAGCCCTGAGGCAGTGAGGAGATGAAGTTGTGAGCATTGGATGATTTTGCAGCCTCAATTATCTCTTCTTCTGTAACATTTCCATGTTTCCCATAGGCTATGTTGTTGCGAATCGTCTCGTTGAATAGCACTGGTTCTTGGCTCACTAGCCCCATTTGTTGCCTTAACCAACTGAGCTTCAGTTTCCTGATTGGAACCCCATCCAAGAACACTTCTCCAGAATCGGGATCATAGAATCTCTCCACGAGCCCAATCACCGTCGATTTCCCACTTCCACTCTCCCCAACAAGAGCACATGTCTTTCAACAAAGAAAAGAAAACCAAGTTAATTTCAAGAAAGTTGCTAATATAGTTAACAGGATTGGGAATGAATAGTTGAATACCTTCCCAGCAGGCATAGTGAGGCACATGTCCTTGAAGATTTGGATATCGGGACGAGTTGGATACTTGAATTCTACGTGTTCCAGCTCGATATCTCCTCGGACTGAACTTAACGTTGTACCTTGGTCACTGCTACTATCAATCTTGGGCTTCCTGTCAAGAATGTCGAATATCGAGGTTGCTGAATCCTTAGCCTTGTTAAGGTCTGGTGCCATTGCAGAGGCTTGAGAAACTCCAGTAGCAGTCATTGCTAGTGCAAAGAAAACCTGCAAGCCAACAAATTCAAAAACATCTAAACTGGAGACTAAAACTTTGGAATTTAAAATCGAGCCAGTTATGTTTGTTGTTTCTTTAATTCTTACCTTGAAGACCTCGGGAAAGGTTGCTAAGTCGTGTTCGATAAGAACAGCTCCAATGTAGAAACAAAATGAGTTTGTAAGATAGAGCACCAAAGAACCAAGGCCTAGACCCACTCCACTTATAAGTCCTACTTTAACCCCTTGCTTCACAGGTTCTTCACATTTCTTCTCATACATCGCCATCACCTTCTCCTCTGCACAAAACGACGCCACGGTTCTTATGCTCCCAACTGCGTCGTTTGCAACTTGACTCGCTTCTTCATACATCACCTACATATACATATACATATATTGTTGTTAAAATCAAAGCACTATTAAAGGGCCCGGGGAACCTTAGTGGATGTGTTATTGGCTCTTTGTGTTTCAGTAGGTTGAGAAAGTAGTTATGAACAGATACTACATTGTAATAGAGTCAGTAGCATTCAAAAAAAAAAAAGGGCCCGGGGGCGGGTGAGGGGGGTTCGTGTTAATGTCATAAGTTTACCTTTGCGTCAGCGCTAAATCCTGCATACAACCTCATCTGCATAAAGCCTTGCAAGCCTAGTAGTGGAACGACAACGAGGACGACTAATGCTAGCATCCAGTTAGCTGTAAAGGCAATTACGACGCCTGCCACAACCGTTGCTATGTTCTGGACAATTAGAGCCAAAGCATCGCCTACAAGGCTCCTGACGGTGGATGCATCAGTGGATAATCTTGCCCCGACTGCACCACTGAAACGAGAAACTAAACTCAGCACGGGGGAATTGAAGATGCATGTGTTCCATCTCAACTAAAAGTTTAAGCTGATAACGAAGCTACAGATATATGGTACCTTGAGTTTGCAGGATCATCGAACCAGCTGATTTCTTGGTAGACTACTTTCTTGAATGTTAAAGAACGGATTCTTTGGATAAGTTTCCCCCCCGCGATTCCAAAGAAGAAATTCTGGATGGGCACAGCCAGGAAAGTAGCTACACCGAGGAGAACATACATGAGTGCCCAGAACTTGGAATCTTTTTTCAGCTCAGGCGGGGGCTCGAAGAAAATCTTGATGACAGTGGAGAGCAGGAGGCCGAATATGGGGAAGATTACTCCGTGGCAACATGCAGCCAAAACTCCGAGAAGCAAAATTGGAGTCTCGGGCTTGTTCAGGGAGGCAAGCCTTCCAATAGACACTTTCTTCCTTTTCTTCAATGTTTGGGCATCTGGTTCTGTATCTTCTTGTTGATCTGCTATTTCGGATTCTTGGATGTCAATCAGCCCTGGAATCGGATAGCTATGCGTGAAAGAATGTCGCGATGATCCATGGCTCATAGATCTTTTCAGCACAGATAACATGAGGGTTGATGATCTAGTTATCTGATCTTCTACACTTAACTGTTCCACCATACTTGTTTCCAATTCTTTCTTCTCTTCTTTCTTGCTTCCTTGCTGCATTTTCACTAGCTGTGTATATGCTCCATTAGGATCTTTGATCAACTCATCATGAGTTCCTAACATTCACCAAAAAAAAGAATCATGAAATAAAATGATCAGTAGTCCTTTTTTTTTTTTTTTTTTTTGTTTTTTTTTTTTTTGTTTGTAGTACTACTGACTCTGTTACGATGCAGTATCTGTTCATAACTACTAAGCACAAAGAGTCAATACTGCCTCCACTGAGGCTCAAACGCAGAATGTGCCACTAGACCACAAGGTCCTTGGCGATAAGTAGTCCTTTTGTATTCTCCAAGATTCATACCTTGTTCCACGAGTTTGCCCATTTGCACAACTGCTATTAGATCAGCGTTTCGGATTGTAGTCAGACGATGAGCGACAACGACAGTGGTCTTGTTGGCCATGACCTTGTCGAGTGCGTCTTGCACAATTCGTTCCGATTCTGCATCCAAGGCACTGGTAGCTTCGTCGAGGAGTAGGATTTTCGGGTTCTTTAGAATGGCCCGGGCTATGGCAATCCTTTGTTTTTGTCCACCGGACAACTGTGTTCCATGCTCACCAACCATTGTATCGAGCCCCTACACAAAAACACGACATTATTACAGCGACCTGAAGTATGTGTTTCGTCTCAACTAAAACGACATTTATTATTACCTGAGGGAGCTTGTCAAGGAATTTGGCAGCATTTGCAAGCTCTATTGCAGTTCTAATCTCTTCATTTGTAGCATTTTCCTTACCATAACATATGTTCTCCTTAATGCTAGTTGCAAACAACATTGGCTCCTGGCTCACTAACCCCATTTGTTGTCTCAACCATCTTACCTTAAATTCCTTCAAATTAACACCGTCTAAAAGCACTTCTCCAGAATCAGGATCATAGAACCTTTCCAGCATACTAATGATGGTAGACTTGCCGCTCCCGCTCTGGCCAACGAGAGCCGCGGTTTTGCCACTCGGGATGTAAATCGAAAACCCTGCAAAAATCTGCACATCTTTCCTCGCTGGGTACTTGAAATACACATCTTTCAGCTCGATTTCGCCCCTCACGTCTTCTAGCTCAGTGCCACTCATGTCATACACATCGATCACCGGTTTTCTGTGTATCGTCTGAAACATCTTGTACGCTACAGCCTGCCCCGACGAAAATGCGTTCAGGGATGGACTCGTCTGCCCCAGTGCACTAACATTGCCATTTCAGTGGATCAGTAAACACAAAAGTACGAACCTGCGAACTACTGAAGGATTGCACCACAATTACTACATGAATGCACATGTTCGGGAGCCGTGCATTCATGTAGTAATTGTTGTGCAATCTTTAAGAATTGGCATTAAGAAATGATTGTAAATGGTTGTTACTTACATTCCTCCATTCATGATGGCCATAAGAACATT